CTGAGGCTGGGAGGGATAGGCGGCTCTCTCAGGTCCCCTGGAACCTGGTCATCGGAGAGGCGGCGGTCAGAGAGGGCGAGGAGCTGGGGCGGCCCGAGGGCGCCAGGCGGGAAGCCGGGTCGCACCGAGTGCGGGTGAGTTGGCGAAGTTGGCAGAGAAGTAGCAATCCTTGGGATGTCCGAGCGGGCGCCTTCAAGAGGAAAGAGCGCGAGCCGGGCCCCCGCCCCCGGAAAAGGCAGGCGCACGCCGCCTCGGCCGAAGGGCCGGGAGGGAGGGAGGGAGCCGAGCGAAAAGCACTGGGCTGGCCCCAGGTGGGTTGCGGCTGCGAGAAGACTCGGCCGGAGACTGGAGCCTCGGCTCCCGGTGTGTGTCTCTCTAAAAGCTGCAAAGCCCCCTCCAGACCCCCTCCCCCTCCCCGCGCTGGGAGATGGATGACTTGTCAGACAAAGGCAATAGATTCCACCACTCTGTGATTCGCCAGCGCCGGAGCCCCGAGCTTCGGCGAGGAGGGCCCCGCGCCTGTCACTCCGGTGCCGGTGAGGGGAGGGCAGGGGAGGGGGAAAAGGGAGGGAGGAGGGAGCAGCGAGAGAAGGAAGAGGGAGGGAGGGGAGCGGGCCAAGGGGAAGGGAAGGGGAGCTCGGGATTAAAACTACACTGAGAAACGAAACTCGCCGATAAGATAAACGTTAGATAAGGATAAAGAGCGGCCAGTCTAATGAATATTCAGGCAACGACTGAAGGCCGCGGAGCGCACCGCGCTTGGAAGCCTGGCTCGCAGTCTCAACTCACCCAGCCCTGCCATCCACCGGCCGGTGCCTGCATGGGCGAAGCCGCCCCAAGCCGGGTCCGCATCCCTAGTCTTAACGCGCCCCCCCTCCCCGCACTCTCCTCTCTGAGTTACCTTCCGTTCCTTCCTGGTTCTTCCTTCCTCTCTCTGGTCCTTCCCTTTCGCCTTTCCCTCCTGAGGTACCTCACAACCCACGCACCCCCAATTCTCATTCCGGGGCAAAGTGCCTGGCAGTTAATCCTCTCTTGCCCCACGCGCGACTGCGCGTAGGGCTTCTCTCGTCCCCTTGTCCATTAAGGCCTGGGCAGCCCAGAACTCTCGGTTTCGAATCAAGCTAGAGACCTCAGACGAGGACCCACCTGCCTCAGTGGGACCCAATGTGGGAGAGCACGGGGACTTAGCTCCTGGACCCTGGGGTAGCCGGGGAGGCGGACATGGGGAGGGAGACCATGTAGAGCGGCTGGTTGCTGGCGGCAGAGAACGCCGGAGACCAAGGGTGGCTCTCCCCGGCTGGGAAGAAGAGGCTTGGAACGAGGCTGAGCGCCGCCCGCTGCCAGCTCGTCTGATCCCAAGCTAGCGCAAGGGGCGCAGTGCGCTCGGCCCGGCCCCGCTCCTGCCGGAGCCACCGGCCCAGCCTCCGCAGCCTTCGTCCGCTCTCAATCCTTCTCTCGCTTGGGTCTGCTCGCACGCACCAGGCAAGAGAAGCCCTTTGTCTCCTAACTGGTTAAGTACAGAATATCCGGGAGATCTTTATGAAATATTTTCTCTCGTCTCATAAATCATCTTGGCACTTCAGCTGATGTTTTAACTCTCTCTCTCTCTTTCCTTCGCTCCCTCCCCCCCGCTCTCCGCTTCCCTAGGTCTGCGAAAGGGCGGCTCAGGGAAGCCAGCGCTGCGCTCCTGCTGCCCGGACTCCAGGCGCCTCTGGTCCTTGCCCGCACACCCTAACGCCGCGGTAGCGCAGAGGACTCGCGCCGCTGTCCCGCTGGCCGGAGCCCAGGCCGCAGCTAGGATGGAGGCCGCACCCGCCGGGCTCAGCCAGGAGGAGCCTCCTACTGGGTCTCTTGTACTAGGGTTTTCAGGGTGCCCTTAATCCTTGGGCGGGGCTAGCACCAGGCTCAACCCGACTAGATTCTGAGTTTCCCACTCCTTAGGGAGTTGGTTCTGCTGAGGTCCTAGCATTTGCCCTATTTCCTGGAACCTCCTGAGCCCGATCTGCTTAATTCGCCTGCAGAGTAATTTTTAGGGGGGGGGGAAATCCTCCCCCCGCCCGCTCCCTCCCTCGCAGCCTCCACCCCTACTTCCCTTGGGCGGCCAAGCTGGTTCCCTTAGGCGGGAGGTTGAAGGCGCAGGGTCCAGCCCCGAAGGTCAGTCTCTTCCTCTCGAGACCTGCAGATGGCGCTCCCGGGTTTGCTTTGGCCTCACAACCCCACGAACACGCACTAAACTTCGTGTGGGAAGTGAAAGAAGAAAACAGAGTTGGCACAGCCCAAAGGGAAAGGCTTCCAGGCCTGGGAGTAGAGGGATCTCAGGTGCTATTAGCTGTATAGCCTTGGGCTTTCTTCAGGGAGGTAATTAACCCAGAATTGGGGTTGGAGGAGGCAACAAGGAAGGGTTCTTACTGAAAGCTCAGAACTCAAGGAGCGCTTTGCCTCCCGTCTTCCTATGTTGGTTCAGAAAGTTAAGTTTTGTAGAGTCTGAACTACTGGAGGAGCAAGACTGTGAGCAGAACCCCCTCCACACATAGACTCATAGATTTTTTTCTAGAACCAGCTGGACATATCCTTATGTTACACATATGATGATGTGTGGGTGCAGACAACAGGCATTTGCAAAGAGGCATTTTCACCTTTTGTAAAGAAGAGGACTTAATGCACAATGTATTCTGGAAGTTATACTCACACACCTATCCTTCTCATGTACCTCCTGAGAAGTAAAGACCTTTCTACGACAGTTCAGTTCCCAGGTAGCCCCTAAGATTCTAGACCCCTCCCCCCAGTTTCCCCAGCACTGCACTAGCTGGACACTCATCCTCCCACCAGGCCAGTCCCTGGCAGCTTCTCCTTAGCTCCAGCCCCTTCTCAGGTCTAGAAAGTCGAAGAGCCCTGCTCCCTGGTGAACTGAAACCTTTTCAACCAAGGCTCTGCCTTCTCCTAGGGCTCCAGGCTGAAGAGCTGGCCTACAGATCTCTTCTCTCTAGGCACTGGCCTCTCCCTCTGAAGCTCCATTTCCTGTTCTTCCCTTTCTTTTTCTATAGAGCCTGGTAGAGGAGAAAAAAAAAAAAAAACAAGAAAGGGGGGAAAAAGGGAAGAAGAAAGAGGAAGAGAAAGAGAAAGAAAATAACCCAACCCCAAACACAACCCGGGCTGCGACCTGTCAGGGTTCGTTGCTTTTCCCGTCTGCCTCTAAATGAACCTTTTCTCTCTTGGTGTTTTCAAAGCGGCCCTTCCACCCCCCAACCTAGGGGCATTTACACTTCAAACAAGGCACCCGCCTCCCTGCGGAAATTTAAAGGCAAATAAACTTTTGGGGAGTTGCTCTGATACCCATCTCGGGATTTGCTTCATTAGCCGCCTCTGTGCATCTGATCTGCCCAATAAATCTTCCCTGTGAATCTTGGTTCCTTTGCCTTCTCTTCTCCCTTCCCTGCCAGGCATGCCTGGCGCCCAGTGCCCCCACCCTTGCCTCTTTCCTCAAGTGGAGCTGCACCCGCCTGGGTCTCCGGTTGTCTGGAGCCTACTCTTGCCAGGGTGTAGGTGTCCAGGAGGCAGTGGTCCCCGTTGAGATCTCTCCTCTCCCACAGCGTACACATGCAGAGGCCCCCAAGCGCGACTAGCACTCCAAACTCTCAAATGCGTTTCTGGACATATTGTACATGAAGCGAAGGGCTCCTGTAAACCATGTCCGCTGCCCCCAGTTACACCCGCTCCTTTCGCAATCCTTCTGCTCGTTTTCGGGTTTCCCAGTCCCCGGCCCAGGACTTTCCTCCCAGGAGAGGAAAGGCAGAGGCGTGGCTGCCTGCCCTCCGCAGTCAGGGCCCTGACCCACGGCCCAGGCGCTGGACTTCGAGCAGTTTGGGATGGCAGCTGGGCCGCAGGGGGCCTGGTGGAGAGAGAGGGGGCGCAGAAGCCCCCCAGCCGCGCCCCGCCCCCGTGGCCTGGGCCTGCCTTTCTCCTTCCACTTCTGACACCTCCTGGGGAGCGGCGAGGGGAGCTACGGCCGGGGCTCTCAGGGAGGGGATTAGAAATTCCGAAATTAAATGTATCTCCCTAGGAAATGCTCCCCACAGCGCGGACCAAATTAAACGCATTAAAGTTCAGGAGGGAAAAAAAGCTGTTTAGAACCGACGGGGGAAAAACTAGTCCGAAGGGAAGAGAAGCAGAAACGGAGGAGGGAACAGAAGCGGGTAGCGCAGTGCAGCCGCTGCGCAGCGGATCTCCTTTTCTGAATTATTCCCAGTTTTGGAAGTCACCACCACCACCACCATCAACAACAACAACAAGAAAGAAAAAAAAAAAAGAAAAGAAAAGAAAAAAAAAGAAAGAAAGGGAAAAAAGTTCGTTTAACAATCCAAGTCTGGGATGGCCACGGCCCACTCTCCCCGAGGGTCCCGGCGCACCCCGGGACGCGCACTCAGAAATCAGATTCCGGGCAGCGGGCGCACACACCCGGCCCCCTCTCCAGCTCGGCCTGGCCGGCTCCTGCCTGGCCCCTTCCCCTCCTCCTCCCCGTTCTCTCCCCGCCCCTCCCCCTTCCCAGCCCTCTGGTCACGTTGGAGGATGGGTTTTTTTTTTTTTTTTTTTTTTTGGAAGAGCTTCTGGTACAATATGGAGCACCATGGGCTGCAATTTCACACTCCACGGCACATTCCCCCTAAAGCTACTTTCTTTTTTTTTTCATCTAAGACCCCCTAATTTCTGTTTCCTCGCTCCCTCCCTTGCTCCCTCCCTCTCTCCCTCCCTCCTGCTCTTACTCTTCTTTTCCCGCTTTTGTTTCCAATATTTGGGCTCCCTAAGTGAAGCCTGGGGGGCCTGACTCCAGGCAGGCCCCTCCTGCTTGGTCTGTTGGTCCTGTGGCGGCCAGCCGCACGTGCTGCGCCTTTATCCTCCCCGGCCCCTCCCCCTTTAGCCCAGCTACTTGGCACTAGAGGTCCAAGCGACATGCCCAGCCCTTCGCAGCCGCTTTGAGGGGGAAATGACAATTCTAGCCACTTGGCCACCAAAGCGGGCGGCCCCTTAGAGGCACGGGACCTGCCAGGTAACTTCTGCCGATGGGCCACCCAACTCAGGAGCCAAAAGAATAGTCAAGCCAGGAGAAATTGGGCCAGCAGGTCTATAGGGTAGGAACAGAGGGCTCTGTCCAACAGAGAACCACCTAGAGGGAGATGTGGGTGGAGTGGGGGGGGTGGAGAGGACAAGAGGCCCAGTGAGGCCCTGGTCAGACCTGGACACAGCCAGCCCTCCCCCCCCACACACTCATGAACTTCTGCATAGTTAAAGGGACCACTCATCCCACAGCCCACAGCAAGGAACAGCAGCTACCCACCTCCAGCACAGTCGCTTTGCCTCCTTGGGCCTCAGTTTTTCTGCCTGTAAAATAGGGATAACTTCACCTATTTTGCCTACTCCGTGGAGCTAAGCCAATAGGAAAGCACTTTGAAAATGAAACATTTCCACTGTAGATGAAAGAAGTGCCTAGTTTTCTGAACCCTTAACCCTTCCCACAAAGAGGGAAGGGAGGGATCTGGGCACTTAGGCAGGGCAGGGGATGGTATTTTCCATCTAACTTTTATCCTATAAAGGGTAGCTAGAAGATTCCTCACTACCTTCTTTCCTGTGTTCCTCCCTTTCAGGATTTTTTTCCCCACTGACTATTCCACACCTCATCTATGTTTATCACTCTACTCTCGATCTTTTCTGTCACTCCTCCATTAGCACTTCTTCCTGTACCCTGGCCCCACTGCACCAGCGCAGCTGCTAGAGGATCAGTTAAATCTCCCCCCACCCCATACACACACACCAACAGCCGGGTTAATTGTGGCCTGGGGCACGGTCCCCTTCCGGACAGTCTGTCAAAACCGTTGGGAGAAGCTGGCCCGTTGGCTGAGACTTGGGGAAGGAAATCCTGTCCAGTCCGCTTCCAAACAAAGAAAGTTGGTCTTCCCAGGACCTGCAGTCAACCTGCTAAAGCCAGGGCGGAGATGAGATGGTGGGGGAGAGGCCTGGCCAAGGGGAGGCGGGGAAGGGAGAAGAGGGGCGGGGAAGAAAAGGACGCGAAAGGGGTGCTGAGGGAATGGAGAAGGCACCTGTCTCTGGAAGGCCTGCAGAGGCAGGTTTGGGGCGAAGCTGCGTTTTCCACCCGTCCAAATGCCCCTCCCTTCCTCCCCAAGCTAAGGTGAGAGAGTCTGAGTGAGGCTGAGTGTCTGTGGCAAAGTAATGATTAACCCTTTTCTCAGCCAGACCCTGAGCCCATAGCCTGACCCGGCTTTGGTGGAGGGAGACAGTGCCTGTGGGCCCTGGATGTCCCTGGCACTACCCGCCACGGCCACTGCGACGAAGGGAGCTGCGGAGGAAGGGGGCAGGCAGTAGCAAGTGGCAGCTGAAAGGGAACGGAGTACTGGGCAGGGGGAACGCAACTCCAGGTGCCAGGCGGACCAGGGAGAGCGAAATAGCCACAGCCAGTGTACAAGGAAAGGAAGGGGGCCAAATGCGGGCGAGAGCACGCGGCACGGAGCACTGAGGATCAGCTGGAGAGGGGCGGGAGAAGCCCGGCGGGCTGAGTTGTCCCAGAGTTGCAAGCAAACACCAAATCTACTCTCGGATCCATCCGCGGCGCCCGCCCTCCCTTCCTCCTCTGCCAGCAGCTGTGTGGATGTGAGGAGCAGGCGGAGAACGCGCCAGAACCGGGAGCGGGTAAGGCAGGGGAGACCCGCCAGAGACCCAGGGAATTGAAGGGCCGGGCTGCCCAGGCGGGGACGGGCTGCTTGGCCCCGCTAAGTGGCTGCAGACAAAGGACCGGAGCGGAGGGGAGAGGGGAACACGGAGGAGAGATGGACTGGTGAGACAGAGAGACCAAAGAGAACCGGGTTCTCAGGGGACCGGGCGAGGTTGGTCTAGTCCTGCCGCCTCTGCCCACTTCAGCCTGGAGCCGGACGTCCCGGGGCCTCACTCCCGCTTGGGCTCCTGGCCGGCGGGTCTGTGGCCTGGGGTCGGGCAGGCCGTGTTGCTGTGGCTCTGGGGGCCCTGTTAGTGTGGGTGTGAGTGTGTGCGTGCGTGTGTATATGCGCGCGCCAGATTAGGCAGGCGGGGGAGAGTTGGGGAGGGGAGGGCATTCGCTGTCGGGTTAGACCCTTGCCCTGGCGGCTGCTCGCGGTCCAGAGCCGTCCACTTCACCCCCGAACTTGAGACCAAAGGGCAGAACTGAATCCCTCAGGAGTCAGGGCACGGGCTCTTTCTGGAAAAAGTACTTTGCTTTGAGACTTTAAGGGTTACCCGCATCTAGGAATATTTCTTAACTTTCGGTAACTGTTCCTGGAGGGGAAAAGATGCAAAGTAAATCTCGGACAGAAAAAAGCTCGGGTCCCAATTGTTGGCTCTGCCATGTCTGGACAGGCGGGGAGGTCTGGACCCGTAGCTAACGAATGTGTTGAAAAAACTGACTAATGGAGGGAGGAAGCCTCTTTGAATTTCTAAATCAATTAAGGAGAATTCTTGATGTGTCTCCTTGGGGGCTGAATGGCTCTTGGTGAGATCTTGTGAGTGTGCGTTTGAGTAAGAGTGTGTAAAGGTGTGTGTCAGGGGGGTGGAGAAGGGACACAAACAGATGTGTCCCAGGCGGGGCTGAGCTAGGACCTCTGGACCCATATCCAGCACCTCCCCCTCCTCTCGCTGCCCTCAGCTGAGGCTGCTCTGAGGCCAAGGCCTCCGCAGCCTCTTCCAGCGGGGCCGCCAATCAATCCTGCAGGTCAACACAGCAATTAATAACGGGGTGAGGAGGCCTGGTAAAAGAGGGCGGGGAGGCATCGGGCTGTGTCTCCCCCAGGCTCTGCAGGCCCTGCTGCAGGACCAGGGAGTAGGAGGGGTCTCCGAGGGCAGCAAAAACCCCGGGGAACTCAGTGTGGGCCAGGGAGTGGACCCAGGGCCCGAGGAGGGAGAGACAGAGGACCAGCGACAAGGAGCCTAAGAACCAGCTGGTGCTAGCCAGAGGAGTAAAAGGGAGGACATCAAATTAAGGTCTTGTTTTTATGGCTCTGGGGGTATAGGTGGCGATAGCCAAAGACCACAATGACCTAGTTCCCGATTCTCTCCCCCACCTTCCCTCGACTTTTCCTGATGGTTTTCGCTGCTCCCGAGCAGGCTCAGCGACACTAAATAAAACCCGCATCCTTCGCAAACCCGGCTGCAGCGGTTGCGCCAGGGCGTCTTCCAGGCACGCTCGCTCGCGCGTGGGTGTCATTGTCATTTCGAACTAGCCGGATGGGGCCAAAAGGGGCGTGGGGGCCGTGTGGGGGATGCGGGCACCCTGGGGAGCTTTGCCGGGGCCAGACAAGTGTCAGGTAGAGGTGAGGGCAGAGGAGCCCGAGGGGGCAGTGAAAAGAGAAAGAGCGAAGGCGGCTCGGAGGCGGAAGACTGCAGAGCTCGGAGCTGCCGCCTTGAAGGAAACAGTGGTTTTCTTCTGTTAGAAACAGCCCTGCCTCCTTCTTAGTTCCGCAGCTCCTCCCCATCCTTCACCCAATCTCGGCTGGCGTGAGTGCGATCCCCGCACCGGCATAAGCCGGGAAAAAGAGG